CCTTTAAAAAATGCCACTTGAGAACTTTCTATATCTATAAGGTATTTGATATCATTACTCACATACAGTGGACAAGAAAGAACAGAGAAATATAAGCAATTTAAATATGAGCTGCAGCTTTTGCACAAATTGCATAGTATCTTACTCCACATCTTGGACCTATTCAGACACATAGCAATAACAATGGTAAGACCAACACCAACAACTCATATTTGCTGAATGCTTATTATGTGCCAGGCACAATGGTAAGCACATTATCTGCACTGTATCATTTATTCCTTACAATAACCCTGTGGAGTGGATATTATTATATTCATTTTATAGATGAGGAAACAGATCCTGGGAGAGAGTTAATAATTTGCTGAAGTTCTCAGGGGTGGTAAGTGGTGGAGCAGGACTCACACTCAAGTCAACTGACCCCATAGGCCACACCAAAAAATGGATATGCCAAGGACAAAGAGACAAAATCAGAAGCACAGGAGATTCATCTGAGGCATGCCTAGCCTTCTGACTTCAAGCTTAATCATGGTGATTATTAATACACATAGTGGCACATTCTAGAGAGAGATGGTGATGGCAAGGTCTCAGGTCAGAGAGGATTAGGGGTTTGAAGGATGACTTTGCATGGAGGTTGAGGGTAAAGGAAGAAAGGACTATCACCTAGGGCAAGGGGACTCATGGAAGGTAGCAGAGGAGTGAAAGCACCAGTGGGCTCCAGGCAAGGCTGTCCCCAGCAAGAAGCCAGAGAGCATCAGGGCACTGAGGAAGAAGCCCTGTTAACAACACAGGGGCCACATGATAAGGTCAGGGAATAAGATCACAGATGTCACACACTTAGCATCAGGCGCTCAGCACAAAGCGGGGGCTGGTGGGGCTGATAGATGGTGTGTTATGATTATTAGGCCTCAGCTTAGTGGGGTTTGACTGGCTAGACAAGCAGTGAAGGAAGAGTTGATTGGTAGGTAGGAGAGCCAAGAGTTGATAACCTTTCAAGAATGGAAGAAAGCATTGCAAAGAATGTCCCAAAGCCGCTGACTGATGTGCCAGGAAGAATGGATGGTTTCTGTCCACTGGCTTACAGCATAACTGTGGCACCAGGGAAGTAGCTGATGAATGTCTGAATTGGTCTGTATGGCACTTGTTGTAGTCTAGGTTAGTTACAGTGTTTCAAGGGCACAAGAGCCACCCAGAACCAAGGCCCATGAGGGAAAGGGAAACGGAACCAGGGCAAGATCCTAGGCAGCCCACTGCAGAGATGCGGAATCTCACAGCCACATGCTCATGCAAGGGCAAGAGCAGCCCTAAAGCCCTACCGCCCACCTGAAGGAGCTGAAAAAAGTCCTCTGGGCCCTGCTCTTCAGTGCTGACAGATCTTGCCTAATATAGTCCTGAAATTATGCACTTATGAAAACATGATTTTTCTCTCTCCCCAGGGAACTAAATATAACTATAAAGTTATATGTACATTGAGACAATTCACAAAAGAATAACTAATACACATTTGGAAAATGTTTAACTTCTCAATAATCAAAGAAACACCAAATGAAAAGTCAGTGAAAAATCATTTTTACCTATCAAATGGACAAAGATAAACATGATAATATCTATTTAGGCAAAGATGCAGTGAAATAAGCAGGATGATACTGGGCATGGGACTAGCACTGAAGAAAATAGCAAGGATCTTAAAAATGCCCCAGCCTTTGTACTCAAAAATTATACTTCCAAGATCTAGCTTTAAGGTATTACGGAGTACAGAAAAAATTCTCTTTCAATGATGTTTATTGCAATATTACTTAGAATACTGAAGAATGAAAAGCAAGTTCAAATCAAAACAGAGGAATGACACTAATCATCCGTTCGTTCAAAAAAAAAAAAACCTGCTTTGACTACTTCCCTCTTGATATACCTCTGTTCTATGCTGGAAGTATGAAAGTAGTGGGACACTGTCCCTTTCCTGCAGACTGAAAGCAGACAGATGCACAAATAAAAGGGGCACAGTATTACAGGTGAAAAGATGGAGTCTGCACAAAAAAAAAAAATGGGAGTGTACACCTGGGAAGGGAATAAGGGTGAACTTTAAAGGAGGCTGTCCTTGAACTCATTCTTGAAGAATTGGGCTTATCTTGGTGTTCTGAGTCTGGAAGAGGACAGGAACGGTTTTGCAGGTTGAGCACAATGGCCATGCTGAGCACAAAGGCCCCAGACCTGGGACATCTTTGTGTGTTCAGCAGTCTGCAAGCCAGCCTGCAGTGTAACTGGAGAGCAAGAGTGGAGGAGTCGCAGCAGGAACTAAATCAGAGTTGGAGCCAGATGGGAAGAGTCTGATATGCTATCCTAAAAAGTCTGGGCTTCTCCATATAGACAGCAGAGAGACACTGGAAAATTTTCAGTTTAGAAGAGCATGATTAGATTGGTCCTTTTGTCACTTTGAAAGCAGAGAGTAAGATGAGTTTGGGGAGACACAACTCCCAGCAGCAAACCCATTTGAAAGCACATGGTGACAGGTGGGGTGGGAAGAGAGGGTGCAGGTCCAGACCCTGTCAGTTTCTTGCAAGGTGGGTAGGTGGTCTCAGATGAACAAGGCACAGATTATGGTAGAGGGATATGTGTGGGAAGATGAGGTCAACTGTGGACATATACTGTGTTTGAGGACTATATAGGGCCATCAGATGAAGATGTTAGGTTCTCAGCTGAATGCAATCTTTGAAAATGGTATCTGTAAGGAGAGTTTCTAATATGAAAAAAATTTTTAAAAGACAAAGAAAAATTTTTAATTTTTCTCAGAAGACATACAAATGTCCACCAAGTACATGAAAAGATGTTCAACATCACTAATCATCAGGGAAATGTTAATCAAAGCTACAATGAAATATTAGCTCACATGTGTTAGAATGGCTATTATCAAAAAGACAAAAGATAACAAGAACATGAGAATGTGAACAAAAGGGAGCCCCTGTGCCCTATTGATGGGACTGTAAATTGGTATAGCAACTATGGAAAAAAGCATGGAATTTACTCAAAAAGTTAAAAAAAGAATTACCATATAATTCAGAAATTCACTTCTGGGTATATACCCAAAGGAAATAAAAACAGGCTATCAAAGAAATAGCTGCACTCCCATGTTCACTGCAGGATTATTCACAATAACTAAGATATGAAAACAACCTAAATATCCATCAACAGATGAATGAAAACAGAAAATATGGTTATATACACAATGGAATATTAGCCATAAAAAAAGAAAATCTTGACATTTGAGACAATATAGATGTAACTTGAGGGCATTATGCTAAGTGAAAAAAATCAGGCAGAGAAAGACAAATACTGTATGTTCTCATTTATATGTGGAATTTAAAGAAGCTAAACTCATAGATATATAGTGCAGAATGATGGCTGCCAGGGATGGGGGGTGGATAAAATGGGGAGATGCTGGTCAAGAATACAACAGCTACGAGATGAATAAGTCGAATCAGTTTTGGGGATCTAATGTACAATGTGGTGACTATAATTAACAGTAGCACTTTATATACTTGAAAGTTGTTAAGAGAGTAGCTCTTAGAGGGAGGGAAAAAAATGGCGTAGATGATGGAGATTCTGTTCATTCCTCTGGCGACCAAATCAAGTTGTGATGAAAATGAGGAGCAAGCAGCAAGGAAAAATTACCTGGGATCTAGATGAACAAGCCATACAACTAGGGAGAAATACGAGAAATCATCCTGCAACGGCAGAAGGTGGGATGGGGCGAAGACTTGGCGCTGCCTGGTCTCCAGTGGCTCAGTGAGACGGAGGCTGCAGCAGCAGCAGAAGCCCCTTAAAGGGACTGCGTCCACGAACAAATTTCTGCGGCGAGGGACCTGTTTGCCCTGAGTTACAGTGCTGATTTGGCTGCGGGCAGGGGGCACCAGGGACTAACAGGGAGACATTGTATGAGTGAGGGCCAAGGCGAGACTTGCTCTGTATCCTTTGTTCCCTGTTGAGCCCTCCCCCATCCCAGTGCGCTGACACAGCTGTGTCATCATCAACTGGATAACAGAGGTCGCTCAGCCCAGAGGATTCCCTGAAACCCTGCCTTCCCCAACTTGCAGCCCCATCCAAGCCATATCCAGGTATATCCTCAGCAAGTCAGGTGCTCCTTGCTGAGCAGCACCTGGACTCATACTGGAAGCAGCTGGCCTCAGATTCTGGTGTGACCATTTGAGGCAACTATAAGCAGAGCATCTGTGGATCGCTTGCTGAATCTTAACAGGTGGCCCTGGAGGAGTGGAAGCTTGGGCTAAATTTGGTCTACAGCTAAACTCCTCTCAGGACTGTGCCACTGAACATCTACTTCACAAATCCACACTAATAAGACCAGGAGACTTAGGAGGTTTGCTTAGTACATAAAAACAGACACAAAAAGGCAGACAAATCAGAAGACAAAGAAGTAGAAACCATATGAGAGAACAGAACAGAGATCCAGAAATAATGGAGTCAAGTAATCAATCTAACAGATGCAGAGTTCAAAACACTGGTTACAAAGATGCTCAATGAAATTTTGGGAAGTGTAGAGAACTTCAACAAAGAGAATAAAACATAAAAATAAAAATGGAACTTATAAAAGGGAACCAGTCTGAAATGGAGAACATATTATCAGAGATGAGAAGTATATTAAATGGAATAAACAAAGTGAATAAAGAAAAGGATCAAATGCCCTATCTAAAGGATGGGAAAGCCAAGGACATGCAATCAGAATGGCAAGAGATAAAATGCCAAGACTATAAAAATAATTTAAGGAGAATATGGGACACTATTAAGGCTCAAAATATCCATCTGATCGGCATAATTGAAGAAAATCAAGATGATGAACAGCTGTTTGAAGAAATAATGATGGAAAACTTTCCTAATCTGGTGAAGCAAATGGACATAGAACCCCAGGAAGCTCAGAGAATTCTAAAAATCAGGGATCCAAAGAGGTCCTCACCAAGACACATCATAATTAAAATGCCGAAGGTTAAATACAAAGAAAGAATATTAAAAAGCAGCAAGAGAAAGATAGTTACCTATAAGAGAACACCCATAAGATTGACAGCTGATTTCTCAAAAGAAACTGTGCAGGACAGAAGGGCTTGGCAAAAACTATTCGACAGGATGAAGACCCAAGATCTACATCCAAGAATACTTTATCCAGCAAAGCTATCATTTAGAGTTGAAGGACATGATAAAGAGCTTCCCGGAAAAAAATAAGCTAAAGGAATTTATCAGTATTACAGGAAATGTTGGAGGGACTTCTTTAAGAAGAAAAAACATATATCAAAAACAGGAATAAAAATGGTAACAACTACATTCCTATCAATATATATCTTAAATGGAAAAGAATTAAGTAATCCAACCAAAAGATAGAGTGACTGGAAGGATAAGAAAACAAGAACTCTACATATGCTGCCTACGAAAGACTCACTTCAGGTTAAAAGACACACAGAGACTAAAAAGAAACCGATGGAAAAGATATTGCCTTGATGGACCTAGAAGTTATTTAAGTCAGACAGAGAAAGATAAACACTATATGATTTCACTTAAATGCAGAATCTAAGGAATAAAAGGAACAAACTAATCAAAAACAGGCTCACAAATATAGTGGACAATTTGGTGACGGACAGAGGGGAGGGGAGTTTGGGGGGCTGGGAGAATAAGGTGAAGAGTTAAAGAAGTACAAATTAGTAGCTCATGGACGGTCACAGGGATAGGGAGCATGGCATAGGGAATGCAGTTAGCATTAATACATTGGCTAGGTGAAGGGTCAGGGGAGGGAGGGAGCAATTGGAGGGATTGTTTTATGAAATATATAGATGTCTAACCAATGTACTGTATACTTGAAACTAATTAAAATAAGTAAATGTTGAAAAAGAGAGAGTAGCTCTTAAATATTATCACCACAAAAAAACATTATGTGAGGGAATGGAGGTGTTAACTACCTCGTTGTGGTAATGATTTTGCAATATGTACATGTATCAAGTCATCACAGTGTACACCTTAAACTTAACGTATTTTATGTCAGTAATACTTGAATAAAGCTAGAGGAAAATAAAATAAAATAGCTTCGACCCAGACCAAAAAGAAAGAGAGACAGACAGAGAGACAGAGAGAGAGAAAAAGAGAGACAGAGAGACAGAGAGATGGTCTAAAATAATCCTTTTAATAAAAATATTAGGTTTCTGAAAAACTCCTAAGATATAGAATTTGCAGCTTGAGAAAACAGTATATTGTGAGCAAAATAGGTTTAGAAGGACAAGTGAGCCCATAGAATCTTTATAAATATTTTATGTTCACTGATAGCAGGCAATAAAAGCAATACTGATGATGTTTCACATTGTATCTCAGCAATAGCAGGTAAGATATAATTAATTTGCATTAATTATCTGCAGCTCCCTGGAAACACCCCGGAATGGCCACACCATGATTTCAATTAAATATTTATATATTTTTTGGTTTTGCTGCAAATAATATGCCATCTTTATTTAATGTTTGATTCCATATCTAAAGTCTCAACAATTTTGTTTTCCAGTTGATCCCTTATCCCAGGACCCCAGGACCCAATGAAACAGCTCCCATGTGAATTGGCTGGCACTGAACAAAATCTCCACAAGCAGGAGCTGCCATTACTACTCACGCTAAGCAATGAATGCTGGATGTGAAGCTAGAAACATCACACACTCTAAACACTCTAAACTACTAGCACAGTTCAAACCTATCAGATGGCCAGTGTGCTCAGTTGAGGACACCAAGGCTCAAAGAGAGTGTCTATAGTCACACAACTATTAAGTGGCATTGTCCTGAGTCTCTTGGACTCCAGAAGTGACATTCCAAGCCAGGATTCTCAAACTTTTATGTACATCTGAATCACCTGGGTTCTTTTTCAAATGCAGATTCTAATTCTAGATCTGAGGTGGGGGCCTGAGGTTCTGTAATGCTAGCAAGCTCCCAAGTGATGTGCATGCAAAGACCACTCTATCAATATGAAGGGTGAAACCTCTATATTATATCTCTCCCTTTTATAACTGGATAAAATAATAACAATTAGAGATCAACAGCCAATATGGTGTATCCAGCACTCAAATCCATATCTCTTCAGATTGAGGACACAGTGTCTACTCACCAGATGCAACTCGGGGAGCATTCATCTGAGCATTAAAGCTATGCTGGGCAGAGCAGAGGCCCAGTAAATATTTACAAGTCTTAGCCGAATCTGTGACAAACGTGTGCTTTTTCCCAGTGATGCTGCTTGTGATGGTAAACTTCTTTCGCTAAAGGAAGCAAACATAAACTTTAATATATTGCTCATCTTTACCAATTAAAGCACTACTGTCCAGAGAGTAACAAATATTGGGCTTCAGTTCAATATCAAGTTTCTAGATATTGAAGTATTTGGCACACGTTGTCAGACTATGGCACAATATTTTATCTCACATTGATAGTAAGAGGAAAATCCCTCGTATTTTTTCTTCATTCACAAATCAAATGTTTATCAGGCAATTGCTATCTGCTAAATAGTGTGCTAGGTGAAAATATGAAATGAGTCAGGTACACCTTTGGCCCTCAGCAAAAAAGTGATCATAATCCTCAGCGTGCATTCTAAAGACCATTAAATATAAAAATAGTTTTCATTGTACAAACAAAATCTGAGCTAGCAGGGCTATAGAGAAGATAAAAGCATCATATGTATTCTCATATTTTTTGCTATTATGAGCCAGGCTCTATTCAAAGTGCTTTCTGGGTATTAATTCATTTCCTCCTCAAAGCTACAGAATGAGAGAAGTCTTAATATTATTCTTATGCTGAAAATGAGGGAACAGACTACCAGTTGTCAGAATGCAGCAGAGATTGAGGTCACATCAACAAGAAACACTTCCCACATTTATACCTTCAAGGCCCACATACAAAGTGATATTTGTACATCTTACTAGGATAAACTGGAAAGAATGATCTATACGGGGTTATCTATATGGATATTTGTGGAATAAATTCATAACTTTTTGCAGTATCTAATTCTAATAAGAACAGTAAAACACAAATAGGTAACATTAAATATAAATTTACATACAACTTCCAAATTAAATCTGTATTCTAGATATTCTAGACATTTTCTTAAGAAACTTGAGCTTGAGCCTATAAAGATAACTTTATACATATAGGGTTTATGCTTGAAAGGACTCCCTGAAACTCCTAATCCTCTTTAATGCTGATCTCTTTTAATTCATGTTTGTTGCCTTTTTTAAGAAACCCATGCACACAAGCCAGATACTAACAAAAGGCAGATTACACTACACTGCTTTTCTTTTTAGAAACTCCTTTTTCCCATTAGCCTAATTTTAGACAATTTGAGCATTCTCTAATATTCTTTTCTTTTATTGACCAGTGCAATATTGAACCTTCTTATACTAACGTGAATGGTTTTGAATTCAATTGAATTATATCTAGTACTTTTTAAATAATGCATTGTCTCAAACACTCATAGGTGCTGCCCTACTAGACTTAATAATTCTTCCTTAATATTAAATTATAATAATGCCTAAACTCCGCTAGTGGATCATTTTATCCACACTTTCCAAAGTTGAATATTTGCCTAGAATCCACCTACTTTGTCAGTATACATTCATATGCTTTCATACAGTCTTGACAATTTCATATTAAGTTCACTCAGGTATTGAAAATTTTTAGATAAGCCATTTAAAAAAATGTAATAGCTATTCTTTAACAAATCTGAAAAGAATCATTGTCACATATATATGTGTTTACACATGCATGCATACAAACATACCCCAATCTTTCTTTTCTTTTATAAACTCTCAGTAAAACTCTCTTTTGGGACATCAATCTTCTAAGGTATTAAACACCAGCAAGAATATAATTCTGATCCCATTTCTTAGCATAAAGCTAAAAAACAGTCTTGACTGTAGTGGTTCAGATTTTTTTTTCCATCTTGATAACATCATTTAATGGAAAATTCATATCTGTAGGCAAATTTTCATATGGATGAGCTGCTCTGTGAATGAGATGTTGTATAACTTGAATCTCAGGGTTTTCAGCACAAACATGGGGAACTTATTTACACCCCTGTGGTTGCAGCACAAGCATATTTGGTGCTTCTGTAATGTCATAATTGTTTCAAAGCATTTGTTACAGTTTCAAATATTTCATCCCCAGCAGTTTTATTGCTGTTGCTGCTTGCTCACACTTTAGTTTGCTTGGTTGCTTTGATATGTCTTTGCAGAGCAATGATATTCTTCCAGGCAGAGGCAGATTTGCCATGAAGCTAATGAAGCTGAAGCTCCAGGGCCCTCACTTGCATAGGCCACTTCCTGGGAGGGAACTTGGCAGTGTCTTCACATTTTAATTTGGAAAATAAGATGCTTTAACCACAATCAGTTAACACCACTGACTCTTCTTTCCACTCCAGCTCATTCACACTTTTCTCACCATTGGTGGTGGAACATGGTATAGACACAGAGCCCACTAAGGAAAAACTGAGATGGGAATACATTCAATGTAGATTTAGTGGGATTTATTTGCGTGATTTGCAGTCTCTTCCACAATAATTTCTTGCCACTCATCCCAGAATACTCCTTCCATTGGGCCAATTCATCCAAGTCTCAGCCTAACGATATTGGGCCAGTAGCCATGTGCCCCACCATACTCAGGACCAGAAGTATGTGGGGTAAGTGCTGGAGGGGAACAGACTTGAAGTATACAAAGCCAGAGGCCAGTCTACAGAAAATTTTTTCAATTGTCAAAAATGAAAAACTGTAATTTAGTTCTTAAAACACCCAATCAAATAGAAGTTCTATCCTATCACGGATATACTTTATATAACTGTATATACTACGTTATCAATACACCACACAATATTTTTCTTTTCTTGATGGGAATCACATGAAAAATTTATTAGATTTCTTGGGTTTGTAGCACAGAAACCTGTCACAGCACTACAAAGAGTAAATATGTCTCTGTGCAAAGCTGCTTGTTTTATGCATCAATAATAGAAACAATCTTTAATCAACCATGCTAGAAGAAAGACTAAATCATATTTCTATTTCCTCTAGGGAAAATGATGTCACAAAAATGTCACCATATAAAAACATAATAAGAGTGTATGCCAACAAAAATTTGAAAAGATAAAAAGAATTGTTTATCAGAGAGTTAATAAAAATATTTTTTCTTTTCTCATTCTAAATGAATATCCACTTTCATACTCTAGTTTGTATTTGGAAATTTGTATTGTTTTTCTGGAAGAGAGCCCTATAAAGCCTGTATTCTCCACTACTTTTCTCTTCAGACATTTTAGCTATTGCTAATAACTAAGAACAGTTACTAATGTGGGTATGTTCATCATTCTACAGCTAACACTTTCTCAATTGAATAATCTTCTGAATTGGTGTCGTCTCTCACAGACAGGCTGCCAATACATCTACAAATAATATTCTTTGAAAAGGGCATTTTTCTATTTCCTTTGCTACTTTCCTGCAGGCTGGCAAGATAAATAATCTGAAATTGTTTAAAGCATTTTGCCTTCCGCTATTAATTAAGGAAATTTCAAACCAGCTTCCTGAGCTCATTCTCCTATTGTTCACAGAGTTCCACATTTTGTGTTTGCAGAAGCATGAAAAGTTCAAGTCATTTTCTGTATAAGGTGCCTGTTTTGTGGCAAGCAGCTGGTGGCATTACTTCATGTGATGACTTTACCATAAAAAAATACATTCATGCTGAGAAAGAGAATGGTCATCAGGTCATGGAAATCCTAATTAGTGGCAAGGTTTTCTTAAGCTATGAAGTTGTCATATGAACCTGATGACTTTCCAGCTTTAATCAAGAAATCATCCTTGGTTGCGGGGAAAGTAAATATCTGTAAAAATTAAACCAACTTAAATATATTTATTTAAGGGATTGTTAAACTTCACGACTTCAAAAATTCTATTTTTCAAAATTACTTTTTTAGGTTATCTGTATTTTTACAAATGTTTTAAAACAAATTACATTGAAAATTTTGAACAATTAAACATGAGTTAAAGTAAATAGGAAATGCAATAGTATTGAATTAATTCAATAATTAAATTCTTCAAATAATCTTTCGATTGTATTAAAGTAATTCAAGTCATTAAAATTCTGAAAAATTCCCAAATATAAATATCATTTATCTTTAGATAAGTCAAAATTTTGGAGGAAAAAGTTAGTTTCATGGTAGTATAAAGTCAGTTCCCTGAGCACAATTAAATTATGCTCAGCTATTTATTTACTTGTAGATGTAAACTTTTTTTCCTAAAGACAAATGATAATTTATTATAAAATTGTATCGAGAATCGTACTTTAGCTATATTTTAACTTCAACGGTCAAGATAGAAGACACAAAAGAAACATTGAGAAAATAAATAAAACCAATTACATTCTACTTAGGAAACTAAGATCAGATAATGATAATAAAAACAGCAATCTCATCAGTAGGAAAAATTAAAAACCATAAGAAAAAAATAAGCAGAAAGAAAAACTGAATTTTTCATGAGCCACAAGGTGAAGAACTTCATGATTTATAATGAAATCATTGCTAAAGTTATGGCACACTGACTGGGATGACCCACAGGACAGGCAGTCTGATTAAGTATCTAGCACTCTCTGCTGTGGGGGTACACACAATGTTTTTTGGTGTCAAATTTATTGTAACTAAATTCAAGGAAGTATAAAGACTCATGGGAATGGTGTTCAAATACAATTTTAAATGTTGTACATTTAATAACATTGTTTTTTTTTTTTTAGACTTTTAAACTTTCAATGGGTATCAAAAGTTTGCAGTCACCAGTGTCCTGTAGCACAGCAGTCCCCAACCTTTTGGCACCAGGGACTGATGCTCTTATGAGAATCTAATGCCTGATGAACTGAGGTGGAGCTGAGGCAGTAATGCTAGTGCTGCTGCAAATGCAGATGAAGCTTCCCTCACTTGCCAGCCACTCACCTCCTGCTGTGCAGCCTGCTTCCTAACAGGCCATGGACCAGTACCAATCCTCAGCCTAGGGGTTGGGGACCTCTGCTGTAGCACACCTGTGGCCCATGGGAGACAGGCCAGGTACCTCAACAAATTGCATGCAAAGGGAAAATTAAAACACAAGGGAAATGTTTCAAAATCTTTTTGGTCTCCACTACACCTGCAGTAAGCCCTCCTCTCCCATCTCCCACTTCCAACCTTGCTATCAAGATCAGTGGATTCCCCAAATTAAATAAAATTTACCCAGAGGGAAAGTATAGCCTTTTAGGCTGGTGGTTGTCCATGGGAGTATGGGAGACTGAATGACAGACAGTAGGGAAGACATGGCCTTCTGAGGACTCTCAAATCCCCTGGAAGACTTCTTCCAAATATGCCGTAGTACATCCAAATACAGGCAAGCTGGCAGGCTGTGATTTTATCTGGTCAAGAGAGGATTACATGACCCATTGCTCCTTTAAAGAGACAACAGATCAAAGGAAAATGAAGTATGGGTCATTTTTCAACAGAGCTACACTCACATAAGTTGAAATCTTCCCAATTTCTCTCCACTGAAATCGTAAAGTTGCAATTCTGCTGTTGTTTTTCACTTCATATATTATGACACCCTTGGCACAGATCCCCAAGGCCATTTCCCCTTCTGGCCTTGTCTTCTCTGGGAGAACTTGATAAACTAGCACACCATATTCTGGGAGCTGCTGAGTGACCTGGAGCAAGAAAAAAGCTAGTTTAGAAGAGACAGGCACACTGGTCTAAATAAAGAGCTTCAAACCATTCCATGAAAAACAGCTTAACAGATGTTCTTTAAAAAAAAAGAAAGAAAGAAAAGAATAGAATTGCCAATAAGCTTAGGAAACACTGAACTAAACAGGTCTCCTTACTACAGAATTTCTCTGCACCTCTGATATGGTAGCATTTTTCTATTTTCTTTTTTTAATTCAAGGAATCTTTTCCTTATGGAGTACCTAAAACAACACCTGGAATACAGTTATTATGAAAATGGTACAATAGCATAATAATATTCTAGATAAATTTATAAAATTCAGACTCTTCTGGGTCCATCTCATGGTAATGGATTCCTTTTCTCAATTGTGTTAACCAAAGGTAATTGCAATATTATCTGGTCCAACTCCTTCATTTTACATATGGGAAAATCAAGGCCCAGGCACAGTAAGCAGGTGGTTAGCATCACAGTTCAAGCAAGATGAGGCATCGACATCCTGCTGGGAAAATGACCAACAACTGGTATCCCTTATCATGTGGCAGTGCTTCAGTGAGCCCAAGATCTGTCCTCAGTTTAAATTTACCAGATAAGGAGACTAAATTTTTTCAGAGGCATTAGGGTCATTCAAAGTTGGGACTGTATCAGGCCAACCAAATTCTCAAGAGACTGGAGTTAAACCTAATACAAATGTTTTTAGTCACATATCTAGCTTGTTTCTACCATCCTCACCTTGACCTGAACAACTCCAGTCCTCGTCAGAAGGTTGATGCACCTGGACTCATGGCAGGGACATCTTAATCCAGGCATTGGAAAACCTCTCAGAAGAGTTTCATTAGTTAGATAAGATTTCCCATCTCTTCCTCACAGCAGAGAGCACTATATCCTGTCCAACATCTCTCACTCCCAGGCAGGATCACAAAATAGGGTCAAATTATGGCTTTCAAGAGTTCCTTTCTCAGGGCCCTTGCCAACATCTCTCCTTCTGTTGATGAATACTTTCCGCAGATAGGTTCTACTGCCTATGTAGAGCCAACAGCTCTTCACATAATCTTGATTAAGTTTCTGGACCCTGAGCATCCTTCTTTTAACTTTGGAGAGACCCTGCCATTATCGTCATTGTCATCATCATCACCATCAGCAAAAACAATATTTACTGAGCACTTATATGGAAATGTACAATGACCAGATAAGTCATGTGCTTGAGTTGTGACAAAGCAGGACCACCCCAAAACAATTAGGTAAATTCTTTTAAAGTATTTGATATATTTATAAAAAAAAAAAATAAGACATTAGTTTTTGTTAGAATAAAGATGACTTTTAGGCTTGTGCACATTTTTTAACTGTTCAGTATTAATTTTTAATTTTATTTTGAATTACATAGAGAGGGTTAGGATATTGAAGTACTTGGAGTAATAAAATTGTTAAAATGATAGAGCTCCATTTTAAGCATTTCTCAAACATTATTTCATTTAATCTTCATAACAGATTTGTAAGAAAGAGCTGTAGCTGTCTCTTTTTAAATGAGAAAATGGAGGTACAGAAGGATTAATTACTCTGCCAAAGTTCCCACTGGGAACCGAGAATGGAAATATAAGTCTATTTGCTTCTGAGTTTTCAACTCTTAACTCAAGTACAGAGTTTCAATAATGTCTGGAAACCTAGAAGAATGTATATAAGGTTATCAAAGCATCTTCAATCTGTAAAAAACTAAGCAACATTGTCTATGTCTCCATGCTCTGCTAGGAAATCTGTGGCGCCTCTTCTGTTCCCTTCTGTGTTGCTATTACTGATTGTACTCTCAGAGGGTCACTTTATCTCCATATGCTTAGGGCCATCTCACTATTTTTTCTTCTCCCTACAATGGGCAGCGAAGTTGAGACTTGACCCAGGCTGTCTGCCAGCCCATGCAGCACCCTTGCTATACTGAAAACTGTTGGAACAAATAGATTGTTTACAAATATTATCAAGAGATTCATAATTCATACACTTTGATCTTATAATTCTACTCCTGGGAATTTGTCCTAAAAGAAATATGCTACATAATCAATACAAACCCTTCTCATAGAAATGTTCAGTGTAGATCTGCAAGATTGGGTTGGTGGTGGGACTGGCTCCCAGAGGTCAATGATTTTCTAAAGGCAATACTGCCTTTAAAGAGATTATCAACAGGTTTAACAGAGGATATTACAAAGCATTCATAATTATCTGGGAAATGCACATGTTATAAAGCTAAGTAGTGGGAAATACAGGATACAACCAGGATAATTTCAACAGAAAAAAATGTTTTAGTAGCATATCACAGCCCCTAGTTACGCGGGAAAATGGTTCCATGGTTGAGGAACTTCGGAAAACACGGAGTTAACTGTGGATGCATTGTTCTCAGATTAATATGCCAATGTAGTTAGTTGTGAATCTTCCAGGCAGAGTATGTTATTCAGTGTTACCCGGACTGGACTTCTGCCAAGTCTCCTTCTAGTGAGATATGAACTAGCAGAATTAGTCATCAATGAACCAGAGGCCAACAGGCGCCATCTGATCATGGAAAAGGAGCCATGTGGCTGTTTATGGAGCAACTGGGCTCTGAAAATGGGATCTGAGAATTCAGAGCCCTCTGCACAAATACAGCCTAGTAGAAGGGACAAGAAATGTACAGAAATGACTGTAACACATAGAGTGTCAGCATATTTAAATGTTTGAAATGTTCATAATTTTCAACCCTGTAATTCCAATCACGAGTTTCTACTCCTAAGGAATTAAGCAGAAGTGCAGCTAAAGACCTATGTAGAAAAAGTGCTAATCTGAGTATTGTTTAAAATCATCCCATATTTAAAACAATTTATGTGCCGGAATATAAAAAAAAAAATTAGCATATACCATGTGTTGATTTAAAATAAAGTTTTAAAATTTTAGTGAGATTGGATTATAAAAATATACAAAACTGCGTATATAATGTAAACCCAATTTTAAATATATATGCATATATACCTTTGAATACCCAGAACAAAAAGAGAAGAATGAATACACCCAAATGTAACTATGCTGTCTCTATGGGGCAGAATCAGGAGCAAATGACTGCTTTTATAATCATGGGGGAAAGGACTTTGTTTAACAAACACTGACTCTAGTGAGAAGGATCATAATACGCTCTGGGGGTCACCAAGCCTTCTAGGTCATGTCTCTATATTTGAGGGGGAGGGGACAACATAGTAATAGCAAGCCAATCAAGGAGAATCTCAAGAGCCAGTTCCTTGAAACTAGTAAGATAGCATGCAAATAAAATCAAATCTATTCATGGTTTTGCTTATAAGATGATGGCTTCCTTTACAATTATTTTTCATCCTTCAACCAGGAGAGAGAGGGGCACAGTGAACCTGGCCCACAAAGCCAGGCCTGGGCCAAGGTCAGTGAGCATCGTCAGTCCTGCAGGGGCCTCCACAGGCCTGAGTCCTCAGCCTCTCCACTGGTTCTCTGTTTCTGTGGCCACTCATCATCAGATGTGTGCTGATGTCTTTGCAGTCCCCACCTGTCCCTTGGGACTGCTGCATCCTCTTCACAAGGAACATGCACAAAGCCTGGATTCAGGAATTCATTGAACACCTTTCTGCCAGGACTTCTCAAATGAAACATTTGTAGGTTTATACCACGTTGGGTGTTACAGACAGTTCTGCTAAGTGACCCACCAAAAAGAAAACGCAAGACCTCACCTTGGCAGTTCTGTTTTCTAATGCCTGTCTCTATTAAAGGCAAAAAGCAAAAACAAAACAACAACCAGTCTATCTGTCTTGGGAGACTTTTGAGAGAGAAATGAATAAATCCCAGAACTTCCTTTTGAAACTGCTCCCAACTCTAAAGTCTCAGCCAGATATCCTGCCCCAGGAAAGCCGGGGGGCCCCCCTCCCATGCGCCCCCTAGCTCCAGCTCCAGGGACAGAGCAGTCACCCTCTATAACCCTGATATAGAATAACCAGTTATTGTTATTGTTCTCATAGGGCAGTTATCACAGTGTTACATGCCTCTGGGTACCCGTCTGTCCTCCCTGGAGACGTGGGACTCCCCAAGGGCAGGGCCTCCATCTCTATCTCCACTGCCCACAATGCCTGGATCATAGCAGGTATAGGTTGTGGAGTCAGCAAGCCTATTCATTATAGGCTCTATGTGTGTCCACAGACATAGGGGGCTGAAATGTTACTGCTTTTGCTGGAAGGCAAAG